AAAAAAGTGCATTGAATTCCTGGAATGAGAGAGATGCTGTTTGTATTCTGCCCACAGTGTTCTGGCTCCCTATTCTGGAAGGTCATTAAAATGTTTTCTAAGAACTGATCAACTGTTTACGGGTTTTATTCCTACTTATTCTTCATTTGTCTCCTGAATACACCACCAAACTTACTAATTAAAAATACCTCCCAACTTGTTTCAGCTGGAACTTTAAGCTATGTTGTTGACTTTTTTCCATATTTTCTTTGATGAATATGTGTCCAGTTGAAACAAGATAAGCCTCAATAGCTGCCATTGAGTCAAATTTCTACACAATCTAACTAAAAGATGTCAGTACCTAAAACTCGTCTGTCAGAATGTGCCATTTTTGGGTCCAGAACTTGAAATACAGTAAAGGTTAGAGCCAAAATGCTGAACAGAGGGTCACCCCACCAAAACACAGCAGTAGGAAATGCTGCAAATTCTGGACAGGGATTTTTCTGCCTGTTCTGAAGCTTGCCAGTGTCAGATAGAAATGGGTGCAGACCACACTGAAGTGTTAAGGTACTTTTGGAAAGACTCTTCAGACTGAGTCATGTGTGGATGTGTTTTCCATGTAGGTGGTCTGTGTGTGAGACAGAGGAGCCTCTTCTCCTGTAACCTTAGCCAAACTTGGCAGAGGGATAGACATCTAATATTAAGTTCCCAAAAGTTTCAAAAAACTTGCAAAATAAGTTTTGTCTATTAATGCTGAACCTCTGCTGAGCCTCAGCCTCTTAAAAGACAACAGAAATTTCACATGGGCAAATAAGATCTAATGAACTCCCTAATCATGAGAAATGCATTAGTCAGAGGTGACGTATTAAGCCACAGAAAACCTCAGAGTTCTTGCCTGCATGGAGTCTCTGCTACCTAGTAAATGTAGATGATGATAAAAGTCATAAATACATTTATAAGTATGGTTTACTAATTAGATTCTTTGAAGTCTCTAAAGGAGAAACTCTTGCTACAAACTAATATAATGCAATTAGATTGTCAATTAATCACAAAACCTCTGGGAGCTAAGCTGCTTTGGTTCAGGTTCTTGGAAATGCTTTGACTTTCATAAGGAAAACGCTATGGAGCAACGATCTTATCTAGAGGGAGAAATGGCAGCTAGTAGGTACCTTTTCAGTGATGTGTGACAGTGAAAACCAGAGCAGGCCAGGAGATAAAAAGAACTAAATTACAACCATCATTGGAAAAAGCAGGTTGTGACTATGACTTGGCTAGACAAGGTTCTGAGTAACAACGGATCACAAATTCTACCCCGTTTTCAGCAGAGGATTGAACTGGATGACTCCTAGAGTTTATTCCTAGAGTAAACTCTTCAGTTTAAATCTTTCTGTGATGCTATGAGCCCTAAAACACTGATTCCACAGTTAAAAGATGGGTAGTTGATTTTTCTTTTATGTTTCTTAGCTGCTACCATTGCATGAATATCTGGCCTGGATGCCCTTAGCTTTTGGAAAATTTAAATGGACATCCATGTCCTGCTTGTTTAGGAACATAGGGATTGCCTCAAACTTTTTCAAATGCCTTCCAAATGCTATTCCTGTGTTTCACTTCTGCTCTAATTCCTCAGAATGAGAAGTGAAATTCCTCAGAATCAGATCTCCTTGCTAGGAAGAGTCATAAAGCTAACCTCAGGCAGCAGACTTCAGCACAGTACCATTAGCACACAAAAACTTATATCTAAGTGTGGAACATTAGGAGCATGGATTACTGCTGAATCAGAGAATCACTGAATGGGTAAGAGTAGAAAGGACCACAGTGGATCATCTGGTCTAACTTCCCTGCTCAAGCAGAGTCATCCCAGACCATATGGCACAGAATTGTGGTCAGGTGGTTCTTGAATATCTCCAGTGAGGAAGACTCTACAACCTCTCTGGACAAACTGTTCCAGTGCACAGTCACCTGCCCAGTAAATTTCTTTCTTATATACAGGTGAATATAGGATGCACTTCCTGTGCATCAGTTTCTGCCTGTTGCCTTTTGTGCTACTGCTTGGGACCAGTGAGCAGAGTCTGGCTCCCATCCCCTTGACACCCTCCTTTCAATACTGATAGACATTGATGAGTCTCAGTTGTCTCTTCTCAAGGCTGAACAGGCCCAGCTCCCTCAGGCTTTTCTCATAAGAGATACTCCAGTCCCCCAATCAGCTTTGTTGTCTTCTGCCAAGCCCACTCCAGAAGCTCCAGGTCAGTTTTGTACTGATGAGCCCAAAACTGGACACAGCACTCCAGATACGCCTCATCAGGGCTGAAGAACAACCTTTCCTCACCACCTGTCATCTTGAAGTTCTCTTCTTATCTCACAACCTTGGTTATTGCAGCCTGTTTCTTACCCTCAAGGCCTGATTTCTACCCATAGCAATTAAGCAGCATCATCAATTTTCCTTTTCTAGAGCAACTGAACTTCAGCACTTCCTGTTTTTCACCTTTCAATAATAAGTCAAAACTATTTCACAGTGGTTCCACGATTCAGCATTATGCATTCAGCATTATGCCCTGGCTTATTTCCCATTTCCCTCTATTTCCCCACTCATGTTCATTCTAAAATATCTTCCTCGTGCCTCTTTCTCCTATCCAAATTCCTGGTCATGGTGTTTTCCAGTTCTGCACTGCCTCCTGGACTTAGAGCCCTGTCCTCAGCTCACTCTTTCCTAAAGCCTTCAGAATATCTCTTTCAGCTCAAAACTTATTTTCCTGCTGTTTCCAGGAAACAGAGCCCAGCCCCGCGGATGCAGCTGCCCGTGCGCTGAGCGCAGCACAGACGGCATCTGCTGGGGAACGGAGGAACATCAGGGGTCTGTTTCCAAGAGCTCAGTTACTGCCAACATAAAAATCAAGTCTTGACTCATGCAAAAAACTCATTCAGGGCAAACAATAAATAGCCTCGATGCTTTACTGTGACACTATTTTTTTATTTTTTTTTTAACAAATGAAAAGTTAACAAATACAATGAAGCTAGTTTCTCATAAACTGGGTGCAAAAGTTTTCCATGACAATGCTGGGCATGAATCCAAATCTGAACAATGCTGGGCTTAATTTGTAGCAGAAACATCCTCTTATTTGTTTCTTTTTTCACTTGTTTAGGGGGGAGGCAAAGAGGGGAAACTGATCTGTAACACTTTGTTGATTGTTCATAGCAACCACCTGGCATTGCTGCTCTGGTGGTGGCACCATGGTGCAGGTATTGCCTCAATGCTTGCCGGAGGCAAAGCCTATCTGGCTCATTTTCTGTGAGTTAAGCAGTGAACACAGGGTGGCAGTCTACAATCTGAGCCTAGTCTTGGCTCAGATGATCTTGGACTTTAGTTCCCTAAAGCTCCTTTACCCATCATTTATGTTAATAAGGACATGGAAAAAAATCAACACTTTTTTCAGTACCTGATGATAATTAGATGACATTTAGTACTTAATTCTAGGACCTCTTTGGTAGTACTCTTACTAAGTACCATTCTTTGGCCTTATGCTTAATTAATAAACTGAATTTACTTTTTTACTGAAGGATTGAGAAAAGCCAGAAGTAGAAGGCCCTGGCCCATAGACTTCTTCAGCCTCAGCACTTTGAAGCAATAAGGTAGTAGACACAATGAGTGCAGAGGGGCTCCAACTTTACACTGTTAACAAGCAGCTCTTTGCAAGACAAAAACCACCAAATCTACTTGTGTGTGATCCTACTTGCTGCTGAGTGCTAACAACACAGCAATACAACTTCAATGGTGTATTTCAGTTAACATTAAAAATCATTAGCTGTGTCATGTGTAGTTTAGGTTGACTAAGAAATTCTTAATTTCTTTGGTCTACCTACAACAGATGATGTGAAGGGTGCCTACTTGGAGCTGACACCACAGCTTGATGGCTGGGACATTCTCGCAGAAGGTGAGAGGGAGAATTTGAAGCTGAAATGCTTGAGGACAGCCTTGAATCCAGACTTCTCGCTTCTGGAAGCCTACTTCACTCATTCAGAGACACAGAAGAAGGTGAACAAACTTTCCCTGTGTTTCATACTGAAAAATGTAAAGAAAATAACATTTGTACTCAATGGAGACTGACGGGTATGTGAGGAGCAGCCGGAGTGGGTTCCTGTCAGTTCTAGGATAAAACAGGGCACTCCACACTCCTGACATGTGAAAAAGTGCAGAGGTCTAATAAAAGATTTTCTACTGGTCTCTCCTACCCTTTTTCACCACACAAAAGCATTCATATATATTTGGATGTGAATCAGACTGGAATCTTCTCTGACAGCATTTTGCTTGGGCTAAGAAAGGACTACTTGGGACCCAGAGGACTGCTCTTGTGGAGGCGATTTTCAAGATGCCTTTCCACTGAGATTCAACAAGGTTTGGGATGCTGCTGTGGTGAGAGAGCATGCCCAGGACATGCCTACACCCTACCTGAACTCTGAATTTCTGCCCTTGAACTGTTCCCTTCATCCTGTTCTTAGTACAGCCATTGTGTTCCTGTTTCCTTGGAGAACTTACTGGTAGGTGAATTGCTGACCCTTTCCTGGACTGCCAACCTCCTTCTTGCTACCCATTCCTACCTCTAACATCCCAAACCCATTCTAAATTTAGCAGAGGCTATTGAGCAAAATGTTACCATTCTGCCACCCCTACCTCACCTATTCTTATGGGAACAGAGGGTTTAGAGTGTCCCAAGTACTTCTAGTTCTGCAAGCAAATACTTCTCTGCTAATGGTCACTACTACAACAAAGTCAGAAAATTTTGCTTCACACCATTACCTGTGTTTCTTAAGACTCAAAACCTATGATTCTGGAAGCTAATGGGAAGCTGTTGTATTGATTACTCATTAGCATGTCTTTTAATGCACAAACTTTAGATTTTAAGAGGTAAAAAATACATTTAAGACCTGATTAAAATATGTTTTTCTTTTATTTCTAGCATATGTATAATCACACTAAGTTTGAAATGTAATCCAAATCTCAGCAAAAGTTACAGATTATTCCTACCATACATATATTACTAATTCAAAGATGCATTGCTTTAGCTTTGTTCCTTCAAAGTTTTTGCAAAGCTTTTACCAGCCTCAATTTTACAGACCCACATGATAGCTCTTCCTTAAATAAAAATATTTAGTTGTTAAAATGACTGCTTATAACTCTTTCTTACCAACAAAGTTCTACTCTTAAACAAAGAACTTCAACATTCAAGAGACGTCAAAATTTCATCTGGAAAGTATATATTTTTATTACTGAAGTATGCAAAAGCTTCCAGCTTCTATTCTTAACTTATTAAGAGAAATAGGTCCAAAGGGACTTCTAATAAAATAGCCAAAAAATGCGAAAGAAAAAAAATCCCAACATTTTACTGCCAGTATTTTTATTATGACAGTGACAGAATGAAATCTCCTTAATGCTTGTTTTCTAGCTCCACTATGTTGACATATCTTTCAGCTAACACAAACAATTATCTGCAGGAACATAAACTCCTTTGTAGCTCATTAGAGGAATAGTTCAGCACTCCTAATCATCTCTGACCTATCGTGAAGTCACACAGCAGTATCTTTGTCTACTCTCTGTATCACCTGCATGTTACACTTGAAGTTCTTAAGACACAATCCTTTCCAATTACTACATGAACAGAAATTAAACTTTGGATTCCCCATAGAAGAAACACCTAGATTCATCAGGTTCCAGGGAGGAGAGCCAGAGGAATCAAGCAAGCAAGGGAAGATACTCAAGAAGAAGGCCAGCTAAATCCAGCAAGCCAACAAGGCATGGGAAAAGTCAGTCCTAGTTGATGGACTATTTAAATTGTTTGGTTTGACATAAATTTCCTTAGCAATTGTGTCTTGGTGGAAAAAATAAGCCCTATCTCTTGCTCAGCCTTGTAAATGAAGGTTACACAATAATAAAGTTTAATAAACAAAACTGTTACAAAAAGGTTTGAAGTGAAAAGTATGATTGCTATCAGACCAAGTAATCACATCAATGAGAAAGCTTTTACACAGCGTGGCAGGGGAAAGCAGGGCAGAGAAATGTGCAAAAGATCTTTTCAGTTCTTTATAAAGGTCAGCTGCATCTTCCAGAAGACATGTTAGTGAGTGGGTGAGGACAGATGTGCTCAAGACACATAAAACCCAGTCACTATTAAGCCATCCTTATGGATAATCATTAAATCAGGCATTATCCCACCCCCAAACAGTGTTCTCACAGCATGTCCTGTACAGGTTAAAGTACATAACCTGCTACAGGTTAAGTAGCACTTACATGGAAAAACCTTCTCTTACTGAGACATCCTGATGTTCCTTGGTTTAAACCTGCAAATCTGGCAAGGATACAGTTTATTGGTATGAGCTGAAATACATATACTTTTTTGTACTTCCTGAGGATCTCTGAGAAAAGCTGTACAGGCTTCAAGAACATGCATGTAAAGTTTACAACTTAGACAACATCTAAAATCCCAAAGTGGGTCCTATTTTCACAGCACTCAAAGGATCACAATGCACTTTATTTTCGCAACACATTACCTCACTTGTATGAATTCAAAACTTCCCATTCAATATCTTAAAATAGTTTATGTGAATAAAAAATAACACGAAGTTCTGAAGTTGAGCATTTGTTGGAACAAGACCCACTGTTTTGCACCTGTAAGCACATAAACAATATTACACAAGATAGTAACCACTGCACAGTAATACAGGCCTTCAGTTTTTAGGAAATAATGTCAAAGCTACAGTAAAATATGGGAACATTTCCCTTCTTCCTTGCCTCCCCTGAAGGGGATTGAACACAAACAGAATTAGTAGACAATTTAAGCAAAAAACCTAATTTTATTTATAATTGTTACAATACAATCACCATAAAACTTACAAGAACTGAAAATAAGACTTGCATAGACTTTTCTTTAAAAATAATTATTTTATTATTTTTTTCAGGCCAAAACCTCACCATTCAGTGTTTGGCACAAAGATCTAAGAAGCTTCACCCTAGGTCTATAATTATTAAAAAAAAAAGAGCCACACATTTGGTTTATCTAGTAAGCAAAGCTAATACACAGCTGTGAATTTTTTCACTCAAATACTGGAAGTTTTCCGGGAAAGACTTCTTTGTGCTTTGGTTCAGAACTTAGAAATCAAAAGCAGGATCCATTTGCAAAATACATTCTTGGAAATGCATACAGTACTGTGTGCCACATCCCTCTTGATAGAAGGCACAACTTATGAAAGGAACATTCATGATATAAAACAGAAGCAAGTTCTGAAAGGCTAACAGTGACACCCACTACTTCTGGTGGATTTTTTTTTAATCTAAGCAAGACCTGCTCTTATTTTCTAACACCAACACTCCCCAACCCCAATCTATAAAATAACTTCAGTATGTGTAAAATTAAAGCTTTTACAGGCATGAATCGTTGCAAGAAAGGACTATGAGCCAACATTTTTCTACTGGTGGAGTTACTTTCAAAACTAGAAATAAGAGTAGTAACTATCCCCCAAGAGCCCCTGTGTCAAAACCAAAGAAATTACTAAAGACAAATTTTTTTTAGTGTCATTCTTCCTGCCTACTTGAAGTCAGGAAAACAAAGCTGTACATGGCAGTAAAACTGATCCTTTTATCTAAAGTGCTTGATGAAAGCAGAAAAACTATAAAAATGATAGATTAGTGAAACCAGAGGTGGAAGAGTTACTTTTATCATACAAAACAAGATAAATTGGAGCATTTTCACATTTTCTTGTTCCATTAAACAAGATACAGCAAAACAATTCTTCACAGTGAAGAGCTCCCTTAGAATGTATAGAGTTTGTAACACATTTTTTCTTACATTTCTGTGATATGAAGTAATTTGAAATAGGACTCAGAAACAGTATTCCAAACCAGAAAGTATCATTACAGCTAAGAAATGAAGATTACATAGGAAGCTTTAGACATTAAAAAAAAAAAAAAAATCTCTTTGGGAAATGCTATTTAATACTTTCAATAATTTTAAATGCCCTGACAATATATATTTTACAGTAGAAATGCAAGCGCCTTTGGAACTCAGCAATACTTGATTAGTTCTGTGCATGTCTTCTTTTATGACATCATCTTTTCCTTACACTGCACTGAGCAGAAAAGCATCCCTTCCACAGATATGAACTTCTGCCCAATCAGACACTTGCTGCAACAGGAGCACAAGAAGCACTCCCGCGTAGCGTGCCAGTTGAAGTTGTTGTATGTTACGCGCTGAACCTCTGGATCTATAGCATTATGACAGCCTTGGCAGATCTGTTTAGAAATAAAACAACACTCAAATGAAGCACACACATGCTCTCTTCAAGTGAAATAAGCCTGGAACTCTTAAGTGTTTTTGGAAAAGAGAGACAGGTGTTAAAAGAAGCCTTTTTAAAAAGTCTCCAGCTTTTGATTTTTTTTCTTTATTTTTAAAGTGTTTTGATTAGAATTCAGCTGAGGGCACAGAATAATAAAATGGACACACAACTTATTTGCTGCTGGAACTAAGCTTAGACAGTTATGATGGTTAGTATTTCCCAATATCCAAATAACCATAAAAACCTTTTCTGTCAAACAGCACAGATCTTCATATATTAACCTAAATATGTGAAGAGATTACCTACAAATCTACCTGTGCATTGACAGCTCTGTGGCAATGTCAAATAATTAAAGGTTATTAGAAGTTATTAGAATGTCTTGAATTCATCTTAAAATCTGGTTGTTCACAAACTGTAAGTTAGATAGAGAAAGTTAATGTTTTAAGAGGGAAAAAAAAAAGTCTCTCCAAAAAAACAGTTCCTCACTCCTACCTCAGAATTATTATTAACTGCCAACTAGAGACGACCACATTTTGTCCATTCACTATATAAACCATCTAGGTGCACATTAGACTGAGCCCCCAACTAGTAGCTAGCTAACTTATAGACATTACTGCACCATCCTCTCATATTAGTTTCCAGCAGAACGACGAATCAAGAACTACCATTCTTTTCCAAACTTCTAGCTTTATCCTGTCAATCACTCTCCTTTTTAACACCTGTGGTTAGAAATAAATGAAACAGAAATCCCTAGATTGCAGTTATCACTACAGACTTTTACCAGATCAGCTGAAGTTGACTCCCACCAGGCTCAGTGAAGTACAATCGACAAGAACTAAACATTTAGCAGCATCACTCATCTTCACCTACTTCTTCTGTTACCAAATCCTGCTTCACCATTGGTTAAGTTCAAGGTGTTTTTCCAACAGGTTCCCTCCCAGCCCCCCACCCACCCCCGGCAATGGCTTTTGTTCAAGTTTATGAAGTGACAAACAATTGCCTGTCTAAAGTTGTGGGTTTTGTTTGTTGTTTTTTTTTTCCTGAAGGGGAAGAAGATGAGTGACTCAGGCCTAAACACACATTCAATTTATACACTTTAGATACTTCCCAGACTGAGAAAAAGTAAGAGTTTGAAGCTCCATAGACTTATGTTCCCTTCCTTCACAACACCAACACATCTGTAAGGGCTTACCGGAGCATGGTTCTTCATGTAGCAGGATTTGCAGACTGGCTTGTCATTCACTGTTATATAGGTTATCCCAGCCAAAACACAATCACAATCAAAACAGCAGAAGTGTTTCAGATGCCAGTTTTGCCCTTCTGCAAGAGTGTATTCATTGCTGAATATTAGCTACAAGGAAGATATAAACAAATATACAAGTAAACAAGTACATTCATTTGAACAGTGTACCTTTTAATAAATACAGCCTCTGGATGTTTTGTGACTTGCAAGGAACTCCCAGTGGTTCCACCATTGTTTAACTGTTTCCCAAAAGCCTCCATGCTGCTCCCAAGAGTCTGCAGATGCCAGAGACCCCAGAAGGGCTGTTCCCTGTTGCTGCTCAGAGTCAATTTGGCCCCTATTGCCCCTGATAAGGAGACAGCTGTGAAAATTGAACTTGTTGGAAGAATTTTCCCTCACACATCACAGCCTATGTCTCCACAGATTGTGCAAAATCACCACCAAATCCAAAACAAACTATGGATCTTCCTGAATGTGCAGTGTCCATACTGGTTTCAGTTCTTTGCAACTAAAATATCAACTAAACTGGTGAAAGCACATAATTTTCCTGCACTGAAATGTTTTACTAAAACTCCTAATCACTTCTCAGGGGAACAAACTTATATGCTAGAAGAAAAGACTAGGATATTTCCTACCTCATCACATCCAGCACATCGGGGTCTTTCACTATCACAATAATGTCTTCCACAATACAGGTTACCATTCTTCCAGAAATAGATCATGTCTACTAGAAGTTCACTGCAGGTGCAACAGACAAAACAACCTGGATGCCACAATTTGTCATATCCAGCACGTTCTGCATAGACAGCTGGGTCACCTTCCTCCATCTTCAGTTTGCAGTGATAGCAGGACTGGAAAGACATTATTACCAAGTTAATTAAGTCTTTGAGAACTGTATTTATAAAAATTACATGCTATTGATATATTTAATAAATTCAATCTTTCCAGACTGAAATTAAAGCATTAGTTTAGTTCCATGAGTAGACAGTAATGGTTCAGGATATACCTGTACCATACTTCAGGTTTAACTAACCAATTCAGGATGATGTACATTCTACTGACATAGCATTGGTGCTCCTTAAAAGGATTGTTGTACTTCGCTGTATTCACATTCTGCAGTTGCAGTCCAGTGTTTAAAAACACAACATGCAATTAAAATTCATGTTATGCTCCGTAAACTTTACATGCTTAGGAACAAGGAGAGAATAATGAGCATCCATCTAAGCTAATCAACTATGACCAGAACACATGACAAGAAAATGGCTGTACTTATATATCATGAGAAGACCAAGCTGTATCTGCATAACTGGTGAGAGAAATATAAAATAAGTGAGCATTTCAAACTGATTTTGTTTAAACCTATGTTCTAGAGAAACTAGTTGCACATGGCTAATGTCCAACAGCCTGAGATTAATAATTCTAGGACAGGGAGAGTGACTATGGATAAACTACAAAGCGTACATACACAGCTACACTACAAATAGTTCCAGAGAGTTCAGTCTTTTGCCCTATAGCTGCTCACAGAGAGGGCTTTGCCATCAAGTAAAAAAAACACAGATGATTTATGTTACTGAACCAAAAATTTTTTTATCTACAGTTTAATCACCAGTCTGGCATTTCCTGCACTCCAGCTGGTCTGTGGACTGGGCTGAACATCCTGGGAAGGTTTTCCTCTATGACTCACATCAGCCACAAATGGCTTTGTGTGTGCATATAAAAATAAAATACATATAAAGTGCCTCAGCTGTAAGGCATATTGATCAGATCCCAGATCCCAGACAATTTCAAATGATATATAGAAAGACAACAAAAATGGAAGAACAACTTGCAACAGAAACAAAATGCAGAATGTAGGGAAACTAATGGAAGCGAAAGTTCAAATATGTATGTATATAAAGGTTTCTGACCTTTCTACTTTAGACCTCATACTCCAAGAGAAGTACACTGGAAGATTAAGTAACTCCCTAGACCAAGGTCTAGGCAATGTGATTCCCTTGTCTAACACGTCCAGCATCTCCAGCTCTGGTGGTTAAAAGTTATATAAAAATTTCCTTCTTTACAGCATGAAAATATGCTAACTACCTATTTTTCTTTAATTCAGCTTTCAATCATGGTGAAAAAGCTTTATATTTGTAAACACAGAGACAATTATTATAGGTATGTTTACTTTAATAGTGGAGACCTGGTTGTTAGTGTTGTTGGGTTTGCTTTTTTTTAAATTTTTTATTAGGTTTCAAAGAAGTGCAGTCTATTCCGATAATAAAAATTAATTTTTCAAGAGATTCTTTTTACCACAGCTACAGGAATAAAGCTTTCAAACTCAGTCTGAAAGACAATGTACAAGAAAAGCAGATGAGCAAAAATGCAGAACCAATAAAAAACGGATGGCATTTCTTTTGCTAAGTATTTAAGAGCTCTTCTTTCATCAGTTCATGCTGAACTGTTAAAAAGCAGCTGAGATAATGCTAAACCATACAGCTAAACAAATTAGCATTGCAGAAATCAGACCCCCCCCCAAAATACTTAAAAATAACCTATGTAAATCCTGATTATTTAACACAGTGTAAACTCAGTACCTAACAACAGATAAGAAACCCAAATGTTCACTTATGCTATTAAGCACCTACAAGCCTCTTTCTCAGTCACAGCCCACAGTGATAACAGATGCTTGGTTTAAACTGCAGGAAGAATACTCAGGTGCCGGAGTAAGGAAAGTTGGATAGCGATAAACAGGTGTCATGTAAAAATAAAGCACCTTCTGTTACAATTACTCAAGAGGACAGAGTACCTCCTGCTTTTGACTTATTTATAGTCCAAGGCATTTGGTCACCAGGGGACAGTGCAAGATGTGTTTTTCTATGGGTCTTCCTTGAGAAAGAGGTAAGTTAAGAACTGCTGTTGTGAAATCAAAGTAAACTGGCAGGAAAGGCTGATTTAAGACAAAATGACAGTAACATAATCAAGATGTAGAAAAATAACTTTTTTAGTTTCTTAGGTTCTGCATAACAAGACAGTAACAAAAACTCCAAAAACCACCCCCAATGCCCTCCTTCTCCCCTCCTAAAAAATAAAAATAATTAGAAAACATCTACAGGTAATCAAATGGCAGAGCTTGAAAATTTTTAGGGTACGTGGCCATGTCCAAAGCTGAAACCTAAGTGTTGATTTTATATTTCACACCAGTAGTCATATATACTGTCAGAAACAAACAACAAAAAAGCACACCACACCCCACAATAACACGAAAAGCCACATTCTACAATGTTAAGCAAACCTTTTTCTCCATCTAGAACTTGTATATTAATTTTCTGTAGGCAAGCTGCATAAAATTTTAAGGATTCATATATATAATAGCAACATTTCTAGAAACCATCCTACAGTAGAGCTTTTGACACTCCTAAATAATGTCTACCTCCACTAAATTGATTCAATGTTCCTTCAGTAGTCCTACCCCTATTTTGTATTTGTAATTGGTAGTTGAGACAAGCACAGCAGTAGTTATGGTCAAAAATACTTGATTAAGGCTATAATTTTTGAAATATCAATGAAAACTGGGTAGTTTTATATACCTCGTTTTTCATTGAGCTACTACAAGGAGAAATCAGAAAAAAATAGAAGAAGAAAATGGAGCTGAATATGAAAAGAAAGCTAGTCAAAAGAGCCATTGTATGGCTCAACTTGTTGGACACAGGATGGAAACATGTTACTTCATTATTCCTTAATTTCTTTTCATTTTAAGCACAATTTGTCAAGGGGGTAATTTCAGTGCTCTTCCAAGAAGGAGGAGAAAACAAGTTTCTAAAATAAAACTAACTCTTCAAGAGAAGAATGTAATGATTAGTCCATAAGACGACACAAGCATTTTGATTTTTATTCTGTAAAAGCCACCCTAATACACTATCTCCAAGCAAACATGTTTTTGCACTGAGGATGAAAGTGTCAGCTAGGAAGTTATGTGCTGCAATGCATTGAATACCATCAAAAAACAGGGCTCTATGCAGACATGCACAACATTTTCCAGTTCCCCTTCTTTCTCCCCCTCCCCAGATTTTTGCTATTCCAAATTAACAAATTTAATTGGGTTAAAATGACCAAATAGAGCACTCAGATGATAATATACCTTATTGCTTTATCTCTCCCTTTTTATACTTACATATTGAGATGCTTTCTGATTTTGAGACTTCTCCACTGTTCCAACAGCAGATGAGGTACCTCTGTCACGACCATTTTTCAAGTTATTCTCATCAGAAGCTCTCACTTCCACCTCACCAGGGAGCTTGACATCTCCTACACCAAGTGCCTCTTTTTTGTACTTCTTCACAAATTGTTCCATATGCCTGACTTCACTGGGGGAAAGCTCGTGGCATTTTGAAGGATCCTGATCATGAGCAGGCAGCTGCTTTGCCAACTGCTTCTTCCTGTATTGCGCGCCTTCCGAGCCAGCAACAGGCTGCTTCTCCTTTGGTAACATCTGCATGTACTGTCTAGCCTGAATCAGGAGGAATTATATATCAGATGGCACTTCAGCTACAAACCCATTCTCATAAGCAAACACAACTAAAATAATCTCTACTGTTTTTAGTGACAGTCAAATTTGTCAAAAACAAGGTTCTTTCCATAAACACTAAGCTCCTGAAACAGTAATAGAGATAAAATTCAGCAGATGCATTAATTGGCTTCTTCCCAGAGTAAGAGACAGGCTCCTTTTTAAGCCTTTTACAACATACAGAAAGGAGTTATTACTTCTCTGAGTAAATAACATTTACACAGCACCTTGTCTCTATCTATAAATACTGATCATGAGTATGGTCTTAGAAAAGTAGAATCTGAAATAATCTGCTTGGGTCACACAGCCCATTGAAGAAATAACTCTAGCTAAATGAAGGAAAAATAAAAAAGCCCTGGTTTTAATAAAGCAATGAAAAAGCTAAAAATCAAATTGGTAACTGAGTATTAAATAAGTCTTAGATGCACAAGGTTTGATTAATTCACTGAAAAGGAGTAATTTGAGATAATGTCGTTCTGACATGGACTGCACAACATTTTGGTACAATAAATTAATAATAAAAATTTGAAAAGTGAAGCAAGGTCCTCAGAAGGCTATCTACTATCTCATCTACTTCAGCTGAAAATATACTGGAAGAGAGCTGCTCTTTTAGACGTTAACACTGACCTTGTTCTTACCATATACAGTAAAAGTTACATGCAAGACCAAGTGTTCCCCTTAAGTTTAAACTGATGTGGTGATGGGTTTGATTTTTTTCCTTTAAGCCCACACTCCGTGAAAATTTTTAAATTTATTTTAAAAAAAGAAAAAAAAAAAGAAAAGGAAAAAAGGGGAAAAAAAGGCAGGATACAGAAACTGGTCTCCAGGGACTTAGTAGATAACTCTTAATCCTATGTATTAAAACCTAATCTCCCCAGGTTTTTAAGAATTTCTACATACAAACATCAATCAAGCAAGATTTATTAAACAGGCACCATATTTTCAGTTTTGAGGAGGAAGAAAGGAAGACTACAAGAGGCAAAGTTACTTTCCAATAAGCTCTATTACTTTGTCTTCCAACTCCTGCCTTGAATATGAATAAATGTGAGTTGGACTTACAAGTGTCTGATTCTGAACAGGAGGAGCCCACTCATAAGTCACAGTATCGATGGTTATGTTCTTGGCTGGCACTGGGCTGGTCAATATCATTACATTGCGTTTATACATGGGATTGCCATCATTTTTCAGCTTTGCAATGAGGGTTGTGTATTTCGTATCTTCAAAGAGTTTCCCCACTTTCCGATCTTCCTCATTGCTTGAAGGGATATCATGCTCCTCCTGGCCACATTTGCAGTTGCGGCATATTTTCCTGAAAATCATGGAAACAGCAACAAAATGACAATCTCACACCATCTGGGTGTGTATAACATCTGGGTGTGTAGGAACCCAAACCCTTCTTTTCAGTGCTTTGTTTAGGAAATATACACGTTTTTCTGCAATATGTCAAACATCTCCTTATGTATCCTGTTGTATTATTCAAGTTGTCTATCTACAGATATTTTTATCAGATAGATATCAGTCAACTACACTAATGCATTTTTAATATGAAGCTATGCCATTTCTTCAGTTACATCTCAGTACTGATCAAACACACATATCCATTATCAGTCACCAATCAGATTTAGTATAACCTTCAACACAATTCCCCCAGCAATCACTTCCTTGGGCTTTTAGTTTTTCAGTTGCTTTCATACATTCAAAGTTACACATACTATACTATTTTCTTCATATGCATTTCATTGTATGCATGATGTTTGGTTATCACCAGGTTGCTATCATGTGCAAACAAATATTTCCTAGAAAGGAAGAAAATGCATACAGACATACAAAGAGTGTAATTGCACCAAGTTCTGTTCAAAGCACAGCGTTTAAACAGAAGATGAAAGAAAAGTTAAAGGCTTATATGGACAAAGCCTTTCAAAATATCCCTGAACAAAGTCAGAGGTACTCTGGCACATGCTGTAGACAATTTTCACAGAAAACAGCCTTAAAAGGTAGAAGTATATCTACTTACTTGGATATAAATTATATTATTTCATATACAACACATTTCAACTGCTTTGGCTAACGAATATTAGAAAGCAATTTGTTATCTTAAGCATAATTAAACAATTCACATATAATAAACAGAACCTTGGATTAGACAAGCTAGTTCATTATTTATTAAAGGTGTCTCCAGAACTTCAGCTCAAAGCAGTCAGCCACAGCATACAGAAATTAGTGAAACTAGATGTTAACTAAAGGTTCTTATTATAGACTAAGAAAACATATCAGCCTTCTGGATCTCTGCAGTTTGAAGAGGAATGAGCAGTGTTTTATCCCATTATTTATCCTTCATATAGCAAATAGCATGAACTATTAGTTATAAAATGCTTCTGAACCCTGCTTGCCAAAACCCATCAAAATCTAACATAGTTCTGCATCTTCCTTTATACAGTCTTTAAGGCAAGTTAGGTGCCTTACACCTAAGGTACATCACAGGAAAACAACAAAAACATGCCATGACTCAGCAAGCCCCTGAGGTAATGGGAAAGGAAGGAGGATCTTAAATTGGTCACCTGAAGTGATACACAGCCAGGTCTAAACATATGCTGTCTATATGTACACCAGTTTGGATGAGGGGTACTAACATTTCAGTGTGTGGTGGATGCTGCCCTGGTCATGTGGTTTTATACAGAAACCATACATTAATTTAATGACAACTGAAGTTATAAAGCCCACTCCAAGTAAAAACACCTAACTGCAGTAAAAATGAGACACTCATGCAAAATACGAATATTAAACAGAAGTGACTCCACTTTGCAACACAAATACTTAAAGATATCACTCGTTGAAGTGTAGACTGTCTGACAGTTTCCAACTCATTTCCACAACAGGAAAGATGTACAGAATTTAAAGCTGGTACTTACCTGGATAGCTACTAAACACTAATCACTTTGTAATCTCTCAGTTTACCAAAACATTCAAGCATAAGCTAGCATTGCCCATTAAGCCTAAAAGCTTTACTATGCACCTCAAGCACTCCAAACATAAAATTTTGCAAGATCTTCAGCATCTGTCTACACAAGTCCTTTATGTAGGTTATACTTAGAGAGTATTTAATATACTAATAAAGCAATTCATATTCACATTGCTCATCTTTTATGGCACGCATGTGATCATATCTTATTACCAGTTCTCAGTCATATCTTTTTTGAGATCTAATAACAGGTGACAGAATCAGACCTTGTGTTTTGCAGATTTAATAATTTAAATCATAATCACCATGCAGTTTATGCCTCACAGCACACATGCTACTGGAACTGAAGCAGTTTGTCCATCCAAACAATGACACCAAACACTTTATTTACTCTTAGAACTTTATTTACTCTAGCAATAGTAACCCATGGTTTTAGTCTCATGTCTTGATAGGATGTGATTTAGTAACATTGGTGAAGACCAGCTGTCCTGGGATTCCCTCCAGAGACTTACACAATATCATCATGCTGTCCAGAACCACTCTGCTTGCAAGACACACCTCAGTAAGGACAATTCATATTGCTGTATTGCCTGTGTGGTCACAACTGCCACATGACAGGCTGTGCACTCTCCCCGCTCTACAGCCTCCAACTACAGTAAAGCAGCATTGACAGCAGCCAGAGACCAGACCACCCTCCACAAGCTGTGGTGGAATTTATCCTAAGACTCTCACAAGTGCTGGAAAAACCGTAAGAGCACCTTATATTTGCTCACGTTACACCATGAAATTGTGTATCTTTCTCCTAACAGTATTCTTTCAGAATGCAAAATACTTCAGAGATCCTGTTTCTACCATCAATTAGATGAACACCCTGACTCAGCTGCTGTCATTATCCTTGCAGGCTTAACATGTTTCACTGACTGCAGTATCTGTGAGAGATTTTTCTTTTGCTTTCCTCATAAATAGGTAGTTGAGTAGAAGTGAAAGCATGCAATTTGTCCTTAGGTCCTTCCTGGAAAATGGGCCAGAACTACTGCACTGTCTGCTTGCACTGAAAATAATGAGGTACTCACTAATCTTCCCTGTCCCTGCACACACTGAAATTAAGAATTTGACTGTGTACATTTCAGTTTAATCTCCTTGCGCCTTCAAAGTCAAGTGAATAATTCCTTGCCAACAGTTTGCAAGAAGCTGTTACAGGGCCTATGTTACAAGTGTAATAATGGCCTTGGCATTAGAATTCGTGTTCCATTATGCCTCTGGATACAGGACAAAACAATACAGAAAGAATGTGGAGAATGCTGAGTCATACCTGATGTCAGCATATCTCAGTAAACTGCAGGAAAATCCCCATGGCTGTTGCCATTTCCCATGCTCCCCAACCCTCCCCCTGGCTCTCAGCCACATGAAGATATCCATACAGCTGCTAACAGCCCAAAAAGTATCCTGTCCTGATTTATAACCTTTCCTCTTGAGTAATTTCCAGTACTAAAAGATATCCAGTTGATATTTACACATGTAACTGTTCTTGAATAGTATTGTTTACAATTTACTCCTAACATCTTTCACTAGTTGCCACAGCACAGTCCTGCTCATTAGTCACTCACTGTCCCTTCTGCAGAAGGTATATGGCCAATTATCTCTTTAGAATAGATTAGCTGGTAATTTGGTTAACTTTAACACAGCTATCTCACTGAAGTGACCCCATTCCATTACCTCAAGTTTATATTTCACAAGTCTGTCTGATAATTGACACTTTATCTTTGCTGTTAAAGTGAACACCTCATTTGCAAGAAAAAAACAACTGTCATTATATACACCCACAGACATATAAACATATAAAAATGTATATGCTTAGACAATTTTATCTCCTTTGACTCCATCAAGAGGACAGGCAGTTGAAAAACTTGTTCTCCCCATCTGCATTGTTGCAAACATTTTCTCTTCACTTGAGGACATTCAGCAAGATCCCTGCTGAAGGAGGTGTTCCTGTTTATGTCTTCGCAGCTCTAAGGACCTCATCAAAGCAGAGCAATGTTCCTCCACACACGTCTTAGCAATTTGAAAAGCTTTTCCCACTCAAAACATGGAAGATATGAAGGAAACTTCAAAGTTTGTGGAATGAAAAGTGGCATACCACAGGTAAAAGACAGGTCTAATATTAGATAGTGTTTTGCTAGCAGGTCTTGAGTAGTTAGAAAGAACGAGGAAGAAAGGTATAGAGATTCCATCCTCTCAAATGATGAATTCTTGTCCTGAATGTCTACTGACAGGAAGGATCAAAGACTTCCACTTCCTTCTCCAAAATCAAATGTTAGCCACCCTCCCAATTGTCTATGTTTTGGTGTATGGAGAGGAAAAATAAGACTGATCATGGTCCTTCCTATGCTGGCTCCTAGTGACAGGAGGTAGCAGCTGCAAGCATAGAGAAATCCTCAACAAAGACCTGGCAAGTCCTGAGGCTTGTGCCCTCCATGCAGAATGACTAACCTCCCTATTACAGAAATCCAGATGTTCTTGAAGATCTCCAGTGAGGGAGATTGCACAGCCTCTCTGAGCAATCTGTTCCAGTGCTCAGTCACCTGCAGAGTAAAGAAGTTCTTCCTCATATTCAGGTAGAATTTCCTGTGCATCAGTTTCTGCTGTTGTCATTTGTCCTATTGCTTGGCCTCACCAAGCAGAGCTGGGCTCCATCCTTTTGACACCCTCCCTTCAGATACTGATAGACAATGATGGGGTCCTCACCCAGTTATCTCTTCTCAAGGCTGAACAAGCCCAGCTTCCTCAGCCTTTCCTCTTAAGAAAGGAAGTCCCTCCACTCCCTTAATCATCTTTGCTGTCCTCCACTGAACCCACTCCAGGAGCTCCATGTCTCTCTTGTACTGAGGAGCACAGAACAGGACACAGCACTCCATATACAGAATGCACCTCAGAATACCACTGGCCTTGACTCCCAGGGCCCACTGCTGGCTCAGGGACAGGTTGTTTTCCACAGGATCCCCAGGGCTTTCTCCACAGTGCTGCCTTCCACCAGGTCAGCCTCCAGCCAGTGCTGGTGCTTGGGGTTATTCTTCCCCAGGTGCAGGACCCTGCATTTGCCTTTGTTGAATTTCAGCTGGTTCGCCTCTGCCCATCTCTCCAACCTGTCAAGACCCTTCTGAAGGGCTGCACAGCACTCTGGCGTATTGGCCACTTCTCCCAGCTTTGCGTCATCAGTCAAATGACTGAGAAGGCACTTTGCTTCTTCATCCAAGTATAAGATTTTGTGATTACTTCTGTTATGTTTTCTTGCTATTAGTGCAGCTATAACTAATTGCAACTGCTTTGAATTGCATCTCAATGCTTCCCTGCCAGCTGTATTATCAGAAAATCTTAAAGCAAACTTAAGGCTCACCCTGCCTTCCACGTACTCTATCTGTGCAGAGAAGCCATATGCTGAAAAAGATCATTTCCAAACCTAAGATTCTTTTTTTGCAGAAGTTTTTTTAACACCTTAGCAAGTCACATCAGGGACAGTTACACTCTCTGGTATATACGCAACCAAGATAAATCAGAACCTTTCCTCCTGTTTTTAGCGACTTCTTACTCATGTCCCATAGTTCCCTCTAGTGGGGAACGTTCCCAAAGAGCAATATGTAACTAACCGAGTAGGAATCTCTTACATACAGCCCGACCCATTGGGCATGTGTGAGAGCTGTTTTGCACCTTCTGCTGCCGTTACACTTGGGCAGAAGCATGATTCTAAGGACAATTTTAAAAACAAAAGCTATTAATACACTAAGATAAACCAGATAATTGTTAACCATTCAACTATCATTGTAGACTACATCTCTCATTTTATTAATTTTGCATTCAGCTCACAACACTGAGGCTACCACAACTTCTAAATTTAGAAATAAATTTTACTGAAGGCTTGGTTTACCACCATTTCTATACTAGCCTCAATTTACAGTTCTGCACCTATAAAAACTACCCACACACTGTGTGAAGATTTACAGCACAAATGTCATAAAACTGTATGTGCCACCTCAGAAGAGATATACTCCAAGCTTAGAGAAGAAGTGTGTAGCAGCTCCTTGTAAAGCCTTAGTACTAGATAGGTACACTTGGGTTTTTTGTGCACTTTACAATCTGACTCCCCAGAGGAAGAACTGAGGCTCTTTTGTATGGAAATACAAAACAGAATTACGTGTTGTCTTCTTGAGGAACAGCGTTTTCCTGTATCAGACCAAGAGCTGCACGATGTGCTGGAGCTCCTGGGCTGTCCCCAGGAGAGGGCAGTGTCAGCTTTGCACAGCCTGCAGCAGAACCACGCCCGGCACACGCGGCCGCTACTGCCCGGCTTGCTGGGCTGCAGCTGCCTCCTATGGAGGTCACTGTCTTCACAACACCCTTACGGAGCTGTGCTTTGGATTTGTAGCTAAAACAGCCTTGACAGGACTTGCTGTTACTGGGCACTACTGGCACACAGTCAAGGCTTCCCCGTTTTTGAACTCTGCTGCCGCTCCAGCAAGTAGATAGGCTGGGAAGGGGCACAGTTGACTCAAATTGGTCAGTGGGGGTTAAATGCTATATAATGTCATGTTAACCAATAAAACAGAAATAGAGGATGAAGAAATCGGGGTTTCTGACTTCTTAAGTAGTTACTGCTTGGAGACTAGCTGGGCATCAGTGTGCTGGTGGTGATTCCCTTTGCATCTCTTACCCACCACCTCACCTATTAAACTATTTAAACCTATGAATTGCCTCACTTTTGTTTCTCCTTTTTTTGTGTCCCACCCTGCTGTCTGTGTTGGTGTTTACTGACTGGGGTCAATCCCTACCCATAATGATTCTCCCAATGTGTAACTGTTTCACTAGTTACAATTCTTACTTCAAGTCTTGCCTTTTACGGATGAGTAGCAATGAAATAAACTTGAATTGATTTTGATTATTAATGTTATAAAGGCAATATACTGTCCACTTTTGCTACAGTTTGTTCTTATTTCAAAGAGAGTTTCAGATTTAAAGGCTAACAACTAAGTAAATAGATATTTGGGATGCATCACTTTCCTTTTAAGTGTTAGACCACTAAAAGATATGCATCATGCAAAGCATATAAATATATTTTTTTCCTTTGAAAACTATTTACACAGAACTGAATTAATACTTCAGTTTCACACTCTTACTGCCCCCAGTAGCAGCTCTACTGGAGAAACAGCTATTTTCCAACCCATTCTTGAATTCTTTCAATTGCTAACTTTTTGACTGTTTCAGAAGTATGCACCACATTTGTCTGACACTTAGATGAAGCTTCTCAGACTACTTCCAGCCACGTTATTTATCTGGTATATCCTATATGGACTCAATTTCCAAATTAAATATTAGCTAAATAGTCACTGTTTTTACATCTTTTTTATTACTTGCTCTTTAATCCAGTGCTGTCTACAAACTCTTACTTTCTAGGAGAAAGTGTTCTGATGACCTGTGTATTCAGGACTTAGCACAATGAGCCCCTAATCACAGGAAGATACAGAATATGCAATATGGATAAAGAAAAATACAGGCAGAAAACCCCAATACCCACAGAGAAGTAGACACCTTTTACAGACAAAGCAGACAACTTTGCAATCACACTACGATGTGACTAAACCACTTCAGCCATTTTATTTCTTTTTATTCCAAATTATTTTATGATAAAGAATAATCTAGCAGTTAAAACATGTAACATTGGCAATTAAGAAAGTTAAAAAAAAAAAAGAAAGAGAGAAAGCTATATGGATTAAATGGACCTTTTCCTCCTTCACTTGTAATTTCCCCATCTGGCACCATGACTATGAACAAAAGAGCTTTCAAGCAGTAAGTAATATCATTTCTCATCTAACCATGGATAAACACTATTGACACTTGCACTTTTTAAAATTCTCTTATTGCATTACTTACATTTATTCTGTTTTATTTTACTATTACTTCTACACACGACCCCTCAGTGATGCATATTGAAGAAGTCTTTCCATAAATTATTTCTTTTATCTTTAGATGATCACATTTACTTACTACTGCATTACCATTTCTTGATCCATGTCATTATTTTAAAGTTGTTTCAATAGCTACATATTACAGATAAGAATATAGCTTTATATAGAATTATTATGAATGTTTATATTGAATTATTATGATTATGTATCAACTTATAACAAGCTTTTGCTGTGTTTTGTTTTTATTTGCCCAATTATTTTCTAAACAGTCTCATCTGCAGTCAAATATTTGGGCAACAATGTAAAATCTTCTAGGCCTTATCAGCACCTGATGCCACTATGGCTGGGATACAGAAGCTACCTTATAAAACAGAACAAAATAAAATTCTACTGCAAATGCAATTTTCACTGTAGCTAGTTAGCACTGGTTAAATGCAAGAATTTTCACTAATAGCATGCGCTAATGCTACTATTTTTCTGTTCTTTTCCCTTTGAGAGGGACCTTTTTTCTAAAAAATCAGAATTACTAAGCTACATTTTAAGGTACACCCTAATTAATCACCAATATTATGAATGAACTGGGCCAAAGATACATAAACACATTAATATAGATATATACATCTTGTTTCAGTAAAACAAGAAAGGTCTTCATGCAATACAAAGTTTCTGCATCAGTAATGACAGACTATTTACTGCTATCATCAACTCACTGATTTAGGAACAGTACACCGTCCAAAGCTCAGTATTATCCAACCTAACTGAATTTGTGTGACACACACAGAAGTGACACCTCTTCCCCATCTAAGTAAGCTGTAGATATATTCAAAGTTTCAAATATTTTCAAAATAATTTTACCTAGCATCTCAGATCAAAGCTTACGTATTTGGTCAGGAGTTGAAAAAGCATTTTATTACAGAGATAAAACACACTTCTTCCCTACCATGTCTCTTCCTGTATTACAATTTTACATATTTTTACAAATCTATTTCAATTGTTTAGTCAGCTAAAGCAAATGCTACAGTAGAAGTACTACCACTCACTTCAGGGCAGAGGAAATGTATGTTCACAGGTGATTAGATACTACACTGTAATGCAACTGAAAAGTTCTGGCCCTGAATCGTGTCAGCTTTTTAAAAATATCTTAATAGTTTAACTGAGAGAGAGAACAAAAAGGTTACTTAATTATTTTTTACATTTGCATACATACGTCAAGGTCTGCAGTGCTGAGTCACAGCTTAGGATACATTTGGTGCTACTTACCTCCAGTAATGAAGCTCAAATCCTTCACACTTTTCCTTGCATTTTAAGCAGGGGGCACCAAATCCTTCCTCATGGCCCAAGCCCATCTGTGTACAGAGAAAGATGACTACAGTCAGCTTCAAGAATTATGTTGCATGAATGATCCCACTGATGCCTTTATAATCTGCAATCAACAGCTAAAACAAAAGATTAAGCATTTGACTAAGCTGATGTAAGGACATCATTTTGGGGCCCACTCACCTTCCTATTGTATCTATATAAGCAGCAGTGTCCACACAAGCCTGTACACAGAGTTGAGCTAAGCAGGCAGAGATAGCCTTGATGAGGCTGTGAAATGAGATCAAGTGAGGCCAGAAGACCTCAAGTCAAAGGCCATTTAATCCAGCTGTCTGGACAAAGTGATTCACAGTATATGGCTAGGCAAAATACAAGAGATCAAGAAATAAACAGACCCCACATTTATATGCACTAACCTAGAATAAAGGAAACAATTAAGTTTGTCTAATATTTCCAAGTATATTTGAGGCTACTCTGATAATGACTGAGAGTAGCATATACCCTTTACAATTACATTTCAGTTGGACTCATACCAGCTTACTTTCTTAGGGGAAAGAGAAACAGCACAGTTAGCAAAATCAATGACCAGAAGCAATATGCAAAGAGTTTCAAAAGGATGGATGATCAATTCACAATGCAGAGGAAATATCAGAGAATACAGAAAACAGTGCAGAGTAAAGGTATTCACACAATGTATCAGCACATCAGCAAGTTTAACCTAGTAACAGCCACTTGAAATTTGAGGTGAAAAACAAATATGAAGCACAACAACTTACACATTCATGTAACACAGTAAAATAAAAATGTCTCACTCCAGCACTTTAAACCTTTGAGGGATATGTCTCTCAAATCAGACAGATGAAGGACCATGGAAATGTGGCCACAGCTGGGTATGCAGGCTCATGACCAACATGCAGAGAGGAACGCATTCCCACACCCTGATGCAGGAGGGGCACTTAAAACTATCTGTAGGTAGAAACAGCTCACCTTCAGTTGAGCTTTTACTGACAAGTTCTGCTACTAATTTTAGTTCTGGCAACAACACAATGCCCAAGTTAATTAGATGTGGTGATACATTTTTATTATTAAGTTGGCCATTTTACTGAGAGAAATCATACTACTATTGTTGTATGTACAAGGATATATACCAGGTCAACTTTCAACTTGCTTCTGTCCAAAATAAAGAACAGACTATTCACAAACCACTTGTTTAATACAAAACACACAGTAAAATGCAGGGAACACCATGTTTTCAGCTACTTTATAATTTAAAGGATCATTGCCTCAACAGTCATCACACATCCCTCAGGAAAACTTCCCTGAAGACTGTGATGATCTATTTAGAGAAAAGAGGTATGCTAGCAGCTATTAAACTACTACAGGGATGGACAGGACACATCATTTCTTCCATATCTGGAAGATGAAACACAAGCTGGCTGTGATCACGGTGACATCTTCATCAAGCTAAGGGCTCAAGAAGTTCATGTTATATGTGCCAACCTAAAGCCTACCAGTAGATACGTAAAATAAGCATAACTTTAAAGATTAGGTTCTTCATCAGCTATACTTCTGATAAGCTAACTGCTTAATAAAAGTTCTTCACTGAAGATGGGCATTTGTAGGAGTCTTCCAGACATCTCCCATATGTACACACACCCCCACACCACGAATCACAAGAAAACTGAGCACTCTTCCCAGTTCACACTCCAAGAGACCAAGATGCTGACCAGGATGTTTTCTAAAGCGAAAAAAAAGAGGCTAAAGCAGCACAAACCAACTTTTTTATTTTTTTTTGGGGGGGGGAGGAGGAGGGAAAGACAGGTTGTTTTTTATTTGGTGTTGTTTGTCCTGTTTTTAAAATCATCCTCTCCAAAAAGTTGTTAAAATATGATTGCACTGCCCTAATAAACAAACTAAATTCCCACAAAATCCTGACCTCCCCCCTCCCCCCAAACAAAGATAACATTAACCCATTCTCTCTTGCTGCTACTTCAGTTAAAAACTGGCATTGCTTCTTTATGCTCAGGTTCTCCCTTCCTTCAAAAAGAGTGGAATGAGAAGAAAGGGAAATAATGATAAACTCATTAGTATTGTAATTAGAAGATTTAGAAACATAGGATCACTTGTTTAGAGAGTACTCTTTTATACTACAGAGAAATAAGCTTGACATTTCAAGAATTCCCAAAACAGAATCTGAAATCCAAGCAAGAAATATTTTTAAAAAATTGCAAAAACCATTTTAACTATCATTTCCAAGCCTCCTAACATTTAAGTTTTTTTTTTAAGCTAAAAAAAAACCCCACCTCTTCAGAAACAAATTAAGGAGAGGAAATATGTGCTATCTAAATGCTCCACCCAGAACATACTCTCCCTCCAGGGACAACAACCAGCTAGTCTACGTGTACTTTCACAGCCAGCAGTCTTAGTGCAGACTTCTTCAGAAATTCAGCATTCTACATTCCCTCCCCAGAAATAAAGAGCACGTCACTATGTAAATGCTTGTGCAGCTCAAGACAAATTGAATTAGAAAATTACAGAGACTTGTTTTGAAACAGTTTTTTTTAGTTTTCTGTGAAACAGAAAGAAGGGAATTACCGTCCTATACACAATGTCTGGGCATCTTATGGAAAAGGTTTAGGCTCAAGACTGAAAGGCACACAAAAAAAAACCAAAATAGATGTGATTCTAGATACACACACAGCCTCAGCCTTTGTTCTGACAGAGAATCTACATGGCTGCTTGCCAAAAATTAAGATATAAAATAGCAAAACTCAAAAGCACTGCAGGCTATTGTTATCCAGAAGTCAGTACATTACACATATTTCTCCAGAGTCCTGTAACAGGACATCCTTCAAATATAAGAAAGCATCAGCCTCAGAAATTACTGTCTTCTTCAGCAGCCAATTCAGCTGTAGTTTAGGAAATTCACAAAGTCTAAAACTGCACTGTAGTGTTTCTTTACTGCTACCCATATCTGTCCCCATGTCTTCTGCAGAAGATGGCCAGCTCCAAGCAGAAGCACCCAGAGATACAGAGCAGGCTGAGCACTGGAGAGGTAACGTGTGCCTAAGAACAGCAGGGAACCCATTTTCCCCATAAATGGAGTTATGGGAGAAATGGTACAGATAGGTCAGCTGAAATACTGCCAGAAGAAGGTTCCTGTCTGTCTACCACCATTAAATTTCATTTTACAGCAAAAGCTAACCAAACCCATCTGGTATTACCAACATACCCAGTACTGATTTAAATAGCCTGAGTTCAGAAGATGATATAACTGTGACTGAGATCATCTGTTGCATGCTGTTTTCAAGATTACACAGTACCCAAGGGCAAAAAGCTTTAAGTGGTTATAGCCAAGTGATAATTAATGAAAGATTTCCCCATATCAATTCACACTGGAATCTAGTGACAAAAGCTGGCTGACTTTACAGTGAGGAGTCATGCATAGACACTTACCATCATCTTAAAAACCCAAATGATAATATTCAAGTGTCTAAGAGTTTGTTCAGAAGTGTAAGAGAAACAGCAGTTCCTATGAAATAGTTCAAATCTGGCTTATCAGAAGGATTTATTCTTAAGTTTATTGAACATTTCTTATTTCCTCAGTGCCACCAGGAAACCAGAATTAACTCAGGCCTCAGCTTCTTTTCCTTTGTCATCCCAAAAGGACTCCTGTACCACCAGACAGGTGAACTTCACCCTGCCACAGGCAGTAAGACACAGTGCTGGTACTGAGCCTCTGCAAAAGATCAAAAACCCTTCCAAATGTTACAGATCCCTCTGGAATTTGAAAGGATGTGGCTATACAGTGAGAATGCTGTGGTTAATGGACTGCAACAAGTATCAGTGAGCCTCAGATTAAAACTAAATCCTCTTCACTATCCTTTTTGCAGATCTCTCTCCTATGCTCTTCAGTGCTCCAAGCACAGAATTGAAGCGATCCATGCTAAAGCTATTCTTGGATTTACCATAAAATCCTAGGAATGTTCTGGTTTGAAGATTAGTTAACTACTGATCTATTTGGATGTTTGAGTGGGAAAGCATCTGCAGAGCAGAGCAGATTTCTAGTACATCTTAATGTGATGGCACTTTCAAAGAAGGGAAGGTAAACCAGGAAGGACAAACCAAAAAAAAAACCCAAAAAACATGAGAAATCTCATTGCTGTGCATGCTCTATTGCTGAGACCTGATCTTGTCTCACTATATTGTGTACCATCAAAAGTCCTCTTTAGCAGGGAAACACAACAAATAGAAAATTAAAATAGGCTACAGCATTTAAACTTTAAAAACAGAAGAAGAATGATACTTCTTTTGATTTCAGAATGAAAAAAAGAACAAACCACTCCAAAAGACATATGAATATCTGGACAATGCTCTTATAAACTTTGACATACACTGTATGAGAAGGAAAAAAAAAAACCAGATCTGTAAGAAAGAGCAGTATCCCACAAACCACTTTATATTTCTTTTTAACATGTCTATTAAAATTGATGGCAAGTGTGACTCTGGGTTTTTTTAATATGCATCTTGATTTGGGGAAAAGTTGACTGGAATTAAGAATTAAGGTTGACTGGAATTAAGAAGTCTGGATATAGAAGTCCATTTTGCACAAAAAAAAAGGATGCCAAAAAGTGGTTGCATCCAAGAAAAATATTTAGGCAGGACAGGCAGAGGAATAAATCAAGTAGCTGCAGTAGCCTGACCATACGAGTCTCAGGAATTTATTTTATTGTGGTATCTTCTACTAAACATCAAATAGCTCAGAATTTAAATATTTAAGACACTGCTACATAGTGTACCTTCAAAAGACTAACAAATATTAAAGATAGCTCAGTTGGATAGAAAACAAGTGTTGTTTATTCACAAAGTCCCGCATTACACTAGCTACGTTTGAATGCAGCTGACACTCACTATAACACTATCTGTAAATCTCCGATACAACACTATCCATCCTCCAGTACTGCAGAAGCATTTTCACAATACTCCATGTATTTTGTTTTGACATCAGCACTCTTACCCAGTTGTGTCT